GCAGATTGGTAGACGTCGTTCGCTTGGCTGTCAAAAAGGTTCCCCACGGCTGCTATGACGTCATCATGAGTCGAAATGGGTTATGTCTTGATCTTTCTTAGTGTTTGGGAACGGAGAAGAAGATGGTTCCTGAAGGAGTTTTAAATAACATTTGAGGATTGTAGCCATGGAGATGACTGATTTCTGCACTGGATCATTGTCCTGATGGAAGCGTACACATTGCCCAGCCTCCCAAGTGTCTTAGTCTTAATTTAATTCGACACGAATGTTTTTGTCTTATAGGTTTATTAATCAATAGCATGTTCTTTTCCTCAAACATATGTTATGAAACATCACGGCAACACAAGAACTGGGGGTGGATTATATGTCAGATAACTTATCAGCGACAAATGAACCCCTGCTAGCAACCAGTATAACAAAAACGTTAGGTTTTTACATTGAACATCAACGAAGAAAAACTTGCTTTTGTCTAGATTACGGTCGATGCCATGTTCAGCAGAACAGTTGCGCTGTATTAGTGTGTGAGTGAGTGAGTATGGGTTTACGCCGCTTTTAGCAATATTCCAGCAATATCACGGCGGGGGACACCAGAAATGGGCTTCACACATTGTACCCATGCGCTGTATTACACACAAAGCAATAGTGGTAAAGGTGCAGTACAAAGGTTGCCACAAATGTTTTGCGTCATCATCGAAGGAATCCCAATAGAAGCACACTTGTATAACCTTTATTGCTGGAGGAAGAGAGTATCCTGTTGATGCAAATCTAAGGACAATGTATGCAACGAGCGGTTATGTTCACAATTGGAGACTCGGTGTGATCGTCATGTCTGCATAATTCATTACTATTGTTGCAAACTTCCAGAGGCAGCAGAATCGTTGATGTTTTGTGATCTATATGCTGTTCAAATCCTTGATTTGAATGACAACCGACATGGTCTCGAACGTTATGTTATTTAGTGGTGTTGGGCACCATTGCGCATTACTTCCGCATTGAATTATACATCAGTTGGCACAAGACAGGATGAAGTTTACATGGAATGACACAAAGGATGGTGAAATTTGCATTAAATGCCACAATACATACTGCAATTTACATGATATAACGCACTGCATGATGCAGTTTACATGAGATGTCACAAGATATGGTAGAATTTACACACGACCTGTTGAATGTGATACGATATGTTTCAGGGCCACTTGAAATTGATATCATGTGGCCCATAACCTGAAATAGGTATGATGTGGAAGACGATCTGAAAAGAGGCGGAAAAAAACACCGTCCTGAAAGTATACAGTGTGTGTGTGTGTGGTCTCCTCCCATTAGTAAGACAGCCCAGTTGTGAGACACCTTAAAAACAGCAATGTCATACCTGGTTGCACATGTTAATCAGGTAATTAACCCCTATCATGAAAATGGACTTGTCTTATTATAGACAAAAGAAATGACTCAAGATGCTTGATACCCTCTTTTACTTTATTTCATTCAACATTTTAATTCATCCATCCCTTAAATCCATTGTTTTAACATATTCGCCACTTAGAGTTCAGTTAAAGTTAATATCACAGTTCACATCACAGTTCACATCGAGGTTGTCACACTGACACAACCTTAATCCATCTTCAGAAGTTTGCCAACAGCATCCAAGAACTGGAGTGGTGTCTTGACACCCGTGGATAGCTGATCCTTCTAAGACTCTAAGCTGATCATCAGTTGCAAATACCAGCATCTTGTCTACTTCACCGTCGGCAAAAAAAAGAAACCGCTCACCATCATGGGTCTCTCTCCAGGGAGCTGCAATGTCGAGTTCAGCTCTGGTTTTAGGGAGTTTCGGGATGGTGTGACAGCGGTGTCTGTACATGGCGCTGAGCTGAAGGAGAGAAATATAGCTGCAGCCTCCGGATCATGTCTCAAGACCTCGTCGTTGTAGAGGGCTGGCATAGGAGTGGTTGGTTCTTCTCTTGCTCTCTTCCTTTAGCTGCCATGGAACTGGATTCTGCTGGTGTCTTCTGGTGAGTGGTTGTGTACAGTGAAATTTCTAACAAAATTTCCAACTGTTGTACATTTGCCAATGCAGGTCTTAACAGTACATCGCCAATCAGTACCAGTTTGTCTTACTTTGTTCTTGTAGTGGAGATATATCCCTGAAAGAGGACCTGGAGAGTACCTCTTTGACTGGTAAAGAACTCAACCTGCTGCAAACCTGCCATGATTGTGCATGAAATGGTCACTTACTTACTTACTTACTTACTTACTTACTTACTTACTTACTTACTTACTTACTTACTTACTTACTTTGGAGATTTAACGTGCGCTTTCCGACTGATGCGTATTTCGCACACGGGCCCGGCCAGGCCATTTAATGTGTTTCCGAAAGGGGCGAAAGTGGTCTGTGCAACCCAAGAGGGGGGTTTTAGGGGTTGCTTATATAGAATTTGGGAATTTTGAGATTTGGAATAGATGCCGATGGGATTGGGGAGGAGAACTAAGGGAGCTTGGTATGGTGGATGTTTGTTTGTTTATGTGATTTTGATTTGGTAGGTTATTGTGTTTTTAGATGCGTTTTAGTAGTTCCGTTTTTACTAAGAATACGCCTAAGGCCTTGAAGTTTTCTAGTTTATTTTGTGGGTTTAGTGAAATGGTCACAGACTAGGGGGAATTTATATGTGTAATAAGTAAGTTTTAACAAAACATGCATCTCAACTTTTTGAGTAAGCTCCTACTAGCTCCTAACTCATTTATTTCCTGAGAATATTCAAACAGAATTACTGGCTTACTCTTAATAATTATTCCGCTAATCATGGGCTGTGACCATTGTTAAGTGGGTAGACTGGCTGTGTTTGTTTAATTAATCCCACCTACTCCACTGTCTTACAATAGGTGTCTCACTAATGGGATGTCTTACTAATGGGATGTAACCGTGTGTGTCACAGACTGTCACTCAAGTTGTAAATGACATGATAATTAAAACAATAGCTCTAAACTGACATGCTTCACAGCATAAAACGATAAATTATGCAGCATATGGTAGACAGAGGAAAATCATCACCTTTAGTCGGCTTTAAGTACAGTAAAGTACGTTTATAACGAACACGCTTATCACGAACTGACGGACATAACGAACTGATTTTTTGGTCCCGACTATTTGCTATTGTTATGCTGCATATATGCTTATAACGAACTACGGTTATAGCAAACTAAAGTTAGTGGTCCCTTCGAGTTCGTTATAACCGTAGTTTACTGTAATATGATTGGCAGCGAAGTTATAACGGCACTAATTTTCATGCAATCACAATCTGGATCAAAAACATAAAATTGACTGTTAAGTTTGTTTGTCTGTTGTTTAACGCCGCACTCAGCGATACTCCTACGACAAGCATAGTCGCCTTTATCGACAAGCATGGGTTGCTGAAGACCTTTTCTACACCGGATCTTTAAACAGCATTTTTATTCAACCTTTATGATAAGAAACAACTGAAGGTAACATAGAGGACGTCGACAGAATGTAAGCAAACTTTCAAAGATGGCGCCCGGAGACTGTTTAAAACCTCGTTAAAGTAGACATTCCCATATCCAGATGATCAGGTCGTGCCACGCAATAAGTACAGTCCAACGTGGATATTCACAAACCGCCGATGAAAACAAGCAGAACTCTTCACTTTCTCAAAGTTCAGATCAAACTGCTACTGCACCGACTATTCTAATGAAAACACGAATATCAATATATAAAGAGGCCCGGGTTCGATTCCCCACATGGGTACAATGTGTGAAACCCATGTCAGGTGTCCCCCGCCGTGATATTGCTGGAATATTGCTAAAGGGGTAATTAACTCACACAAAGTGAATTTCAAATTATTATATTAATTTACTGAAGCTTTCTCCCTTAAAGAAATTTGCAATTTCGCAGGACGATCAGTAAGTAAATTTATGTGAGTGAGTCGGTGAATTTGACGCCATTACAAGGGTATAGCAGCGTAAATCGTGTCACATCTTCATCTCATGAGTACATGTACCTATTCACTGCTAGGTGATGGAAGCACATTTGAAACAGTCACTTAAAGAGACGCCACATTGTTTCTTTGTAACAAGTGTTTCAGTTTGGGGTAGTGTTAAACCCAAGCCACTCTCAGGGGCAGAGAACATGTCTCTTAAAAGTTTCTGTTCCCTACATGGTTGGTTGGTTGGTTGTTTAATGCCGCACTCAGCAATATTCTAGCTATTTGTCGACGGTCTGTAAATAATCGAGTCTGGATCAGACAATCCAGTGATCAATAACACTAGCATCGATCCACGCAATTGGGATCGATGACATGCATCAACCAAGTCAGGGAGCCTGATCACCCGACCACCCGATCCCGTTAGTCGCCACTTACGACAAGCATAGTCGTCTTTTACCGCAAGCATGGGTTGCTGAAGACCTATGTTATCCCGGATCTTCACGGGTGGTTCGCTACATGGACCAAATGGACTTTTAGTCGGAAGAAATAGAAGAACGATACACTAAACATGTGTTTCTGTATACAATGCATGTGGCATTATCAGCACAGTGTATGGTGGTGAACAGTTGTGTGTGAGTCATACACTATACGTGTTGTGAAATTAGTGCGATTGGCTTTAAAAGCATTTATGCCCCGATGCTCGTCGCCTCAAGGTCTAAATTCCTCAAAAACAAAAATATTATGTTACAATTATCCTTTCAGCAGAATCTATCAAACTATCCGAATATTGTGTTGTTGTTTGTTAGGCGTACAAATTCAATTAATTACTTTATTCAATACATGAAATCATGCATTATTAGAAATATTCGAACACATGTTGTGAGTCATGCTTATTGGGATTATCTCTTACGAAAACACAGAAGCAACGATCCTTATACGACCTCGTTTAGCTCTTCTATTCTGGAAATAATTACTTGTAATTGATGCGGAATTGTTAAATGAAACAGCCAATGTGAATTCATGCTGTGTCACAGGTGCACATGTATCTCTTCATATATAATAGAAGTAGGTAGTGGTCTTTCTATCAGTCAGTATCGACGCGTCCGATTTGGGTGCAAGTTTGTATTTTCTGGACAAGTTCGCTGTCGATTCGATTTGATAAGAACTCTAGTAGTTGGTGAGTAAATATTTGTTTGTTTGTTGTTTAACGCCGCGGTCTGTAAATAACCGAGTCTTGACCAGACAATCCAGTGATTGATATCGTAAGCATCGATCCACAAAATTGGGATCGATGACATGCATGAACCAAGTCAGCGAACCTGACCACCCGATCCCGTTAGTCGCCTTTTACGGCAAGCATGGGTTGCTGAAGACCTGTTTTACCCCGGATCTTCACGGGTTCTGGTGAGTAAAAACGAAAACATACAACTTTATGGATAACAACTTCTGGCTTATTGCATTTAGCGTCGTTTCGATGTAGATTCCGTTATGACTCGGGAGTGACTATAAGCAAGTAATGCGAGGTCTTCATACATATGATGTGATGAAGTCTGCTGTTTAATAGACGATGGTTTATGTTGGACTGTTTACAATATTGAACCTTGTACATGCATTTAGATGTACGTACATGCAAATGTTTGTCATTGTAGAACCTGTGGTGCCGTCATGTGTAGGTTTCAGACAGTCCTCGTCCTGGTACTGGCTAGTGTAAGTATCACAACAGGTAGATGCTCATTACAAGCGGTGTAAACCCAACTCACTCACTCACTCGATGTAAATATCTCAACGTTTATCATGCTTTGTCACGTGACAAGAGACGTTCCATTGGCCAGTATCCTGTGATGGTCTAACCCGTGTTTCACTTGGATTACGGGTTAAGATTGTCAGCACCATACCCCGCTTGTTTGTTGGTTGGTTTGTTGTTTAACGCCGCACTCAGCAATATTCCAGCTATATGACGACGGTCTGTAAATAATCTAGTCTCGATCAGACAATCCAGTTACTGACATCATCAGCATCGATCCACGCAATTGGGATACAATGGCAGCTTTTGATCACGAGTAACCAATGCTTGACTTAAGAACCAACAAATGAGGATCTGGACGAGGACATGCATGAACCAAAGATGTGAACGTGTGTTATTCAGTATAAGCGCTATCATGTCACTGGAATGTTTCTGATCCATCACTTGGTTGTCTGGTTTGTTTCTTATGTAATGTAGGTTTTGTTTGGTTTGTTTGTTGTTTAACGCCGCACTCAGCAATATTCCAGCTATACGGTCTGTAAATAATCTAGTCTGGACCAGACAATCCAGTGATCAATATCATGAGCATCGATCCACGCAATTGGGATCGATGACATGCATCAACCAAGTCAACGAGCCTGACCACCCGATCCCGTTAGTCGGGATTGTACGCCTATTGTCCATGATTCTGAAAGCTCGAGTTTTGTACCACACCAAACTTTGGGGGGCTCTGACGTCATTCTCGGTCGCGGTATGATTGTCATTTTCAGTGTTGATAATGTTGATAATAAAATTATATTGATCTTCTCAATACACTTTACTTCATGCATGTATGTTTTGTTGTTTTTGAGCAAGAGTGATTTCAAACTCTGGTAAAGTTTCTTTTTGACGTCAGTTTTTAAAGGCATGGACGATATTTATTAAGATCTGCAACGGGATTTTTTTTAAAATGTTGAAAAATCATTCAGTACTTTCTCTGCTGCAGGCGGCGTGTGACGCCTGGCTTATTTCCACGAAAACTTGTAGCGAGGCCCTGACGTCGTATTGCGGTGACGGTGCAGACAACAACACAGTGTGTGCAGCGTGTCCCATGTAGTAAGTTATACCTGTCAGTTAGATCAACAGGTTTGTTCTTACCATGAATAGTTGTTACCCTGTGTTTAGACTTGACCATCAAGTCAATTTCATGTTCTTCTGAATCGTCAAATTCACTTGTCGCAATACAGTTTATCGTCAGGTCAAGTTGCACTCATTACCTCTTCCGACCGCCTCCGTGGTCTAGTGGTAGAGCGTCCGCCCGGAGATCCCCGGCCGCGTCATACCAAAAGACGTTAAAAGATGGTATTTGTTGTTACCCTGTCTGGCGCTCGGCATTAAGGGGCTAAAACAAGGACTGGTCGGCTCGGAGTCAGTATACTGTGTCTGAGTGGGGTATTCATGTTAAACTGCGGCATGGTATCTCAGTGGGCTAGCACTATAAATCGGCATCAGTCCGGACTAGTACAAGCAGCAACACACACACACACACACACACACACACACACACACACACACACACACACACACGTACATGCACGTCGCTATATAAGTGCAATACTCTTGGACGCGACGTTAAACCCAATTTCACCTCACCTCACGTTACCTCTTCCACTTGTCCTCTAAGTCTAACTAAGTACAAAACGAAGAACTTAATGCAAATTCGTGTTCGTCAGGCTTGTTTTGTCTGTTTTTAACTCCGTACTTGGCAGTATTCGAGCTCCAACGCGGATGTACATATTCGCGTCTGGACCAGACAATTAAGTGATTTACATCATCTTGTTTGTTTCTTGTTTAACGCCGCATTCAGCAATATTGCAGCTATATGACGGCGGTCTGTAAATAATCGAGTCTGGACCTGACAATCCAGTGAATGACATCATGAGCATCGAGCCACGCAATTGGGATACGATGACATGCATCAACCAAGTCAGCGAACCTGACCACCCGATCCCGTTAGTCGCCTCATACGACAAGCATGGGTTTGTTAAGGCAGTATAACCCGGATCTTCACTGGGCTGTTCCAAAGATTGTGTACTTTACGCTATACGGACCAAAAAAAAACGCACTAAATTACCGTCCCAAAGTTGAGTGAGTGAGTTAATATTTAACGTGACATCGGCAGTATTTCAGCCATATCGTGACGAGAAGTTATACATTAATGATACATATATCTAGACTAAATAAAAAGCTGTCAACGATGGACAGTACAATAGCTAGAATATCACAGATTTGTTTGAAAACTAGTTGAGAATATTAAAAAGCATTCAGTATTACAACACAGTATAAAAATGGGCTAGAGATCTTCAGTCACTGAAGGGAGATCACCATACCAGGGAACATGGGGACTTACAGTGCCTTTGCTTCCTGCATGGGCCTGGCTGGATTTATATCATCCCTTCAGTCACTGGCGACAGTGTACCAGATAAGCCAAAGATTAAAATGACGAATATACTAATTTAAAAACCTGGCATGCATAAAAATACTTCGAGAGATGTGGGACTTACATACCCTCTGAGGGGGACAATAATTCTACGCTACTTCAACCCCCCTCGAGGGTACAGCCACTAACAATTTCATTTATAAATAAGCACTACCAATTTCCGTCCCAAAAGGGAATTGAGCAGAGCCACCAACCCATTGGTCAAGTATGTGTCTATTTGTTTTCAGTGATGAAGTTCTGTGTAACGCCACTCAAGACCCGCTGCTGTGTCACGGCAACAACATAAATCCATGCGGGGATACAACCGAGCCATGCGACTCCTCCTGGGGTTTCAACTATGGCTGCTATGTAAGTAAAAACGACAAAACTACGGAAGCCTTTGAGGGCCATTTATTTCAAAAAAAATTCTTGAAATTTCAAGATACTAATTTGAAATTTCAAGATACTAATTTGAAATTTGAAGATACTTACTTGAAATTTCAAGATAATAACTTGAAATTTCAACATAGGATCTGTAAATTTCAACTTATTATCGTGAAATTACGGATGGCCCAGTCGCCGCGATTTGCTGTGCAGAGTTGCGTCCTTTGGGCACGCCAGAAACCTATGATTGTGGGTTCGAATCACGAATCGCCCCGATTATGTTTCTAGGTTTGCCAGCACCATACCCGTGCTCGTGGGTTTCACCGAAGTGGTAAACGTCTGAGACCTGCATCACTTCGGGCTTTCCTCCCACATTAAGCTGACACGCCGTGATATAACTGGAATACTGAGGTATGACCGGTAAAAAAATATAAACTACTCAAAAGAAGTTAAGGAATAACAGACAGGATTGGCCTGACAGAATAACTATAGTAACATGAAAGAATCCGGTGGTCCTTGACTTCATTGGATTGGTATATTAAACGCGTTTGACTGACGATGTTAAGTCGTCTGATTACTTGTATTTCAGAATGGGTATTGTTGGAGCCAGTGCGTGGGTGAGGGTTACGGTGACGGAGAGTGGTGCTACACAGCCAAGCGACAGCCTGGGCCACGTGTTGACTACACCTGTGAGGAGGACGTTGAATGTCTCCCAACTGAGCTTCAGGGTAGCATCCAGTGTTCTGGTAGTTGTGGGCCTTCGGGCTCAATTGGAAAGTAAAAAGACCAACGCAGTACAGCTTAGGGACTGACTATTCAATACTGATTTGTAGGGTTAGAGACGGGATATGATGTTGGTCACTGTATGAAGGCTTTGGATTTCTCTTAAAGGTGGCGCCACAACATGTTACACGTTTCTAGGATATCTAGCAAAGAAATAGTTCCCATCCCAACACACACAATATCAAATTGGTCGTCCCTTTACCTCTTAACCTTATCGATTATTCATATATCAGTTGCAATGTGGATCAACAAATAAAATGTAGATCCTAACGAACGTCTTGTATTTTTCTGTCAAAGTACTCCGGGCTGGCGGCCTTGTTTCGAGTGAGTGAGTGAGTGAGTGAGTGAGTGAGTGAGTGAGTGAGTGAGTGAGTGAGTGAGTGAGCGAACGAGTGACGGGAGGGAGGGCTTTTCTCTTAAGGGCAAGTGAATTCACCATAGCCTAAAACAGTCGATATTTGTTTGTTGTTTAACGCCGCAATATTCCATCTATTTGACGTCGGTCTGTAAGTTATCGTTGACATCATGAGCATCGATCAACACAACTGGGATACGATGACATGCATCAACCAAGTAGCGAACCTGACCACCCGATCCCGCTAGTCGCCTCTTGGGATAGGCACAGTCGCCTTTTTACGGCAAGCCTGGGTTGCTGAAGACCTATTCTAACCCGGACCTTCACAACACGCAAAACGAAGATTTTCGCCACTGTGGGGATTCCTCTTAATAGAGGTTAGACCCGTGAAGATCCGGGGTAGAATAGATCTTCAGAAACCGGTACTTGCCGTAACAGGCGACTATGCTTGTCGTAAAAGGCGACTAACGGGATCTGGTGGTCAAGCACACGTAAAATCTCCAAATCATCATGATCATCGACAAACAAATAGTAAGGTCTCTCCCTTAGCCAAGCTGGGGTTAGGCTGAATTCTCTGGGACACCACCACTACTGTCACTATGTCCTAACCTGGGACATAGTGATTCTTTCTATATATTTATTTAATGTATTTAAAGAATAAACGACTCGTGGTCGTTTTTTATTGTACAATATAACACTGCTGCGCCCCCCATGGTTTATTTTCCCTGCAGTGTTGTATTGTACGATAAACAAGGACCACGAGTCGTTTATGTCTTATATGAGACATCAACATTATGTACAGCCCTTTTAAGGATGTTGAGAAAATGTACAAGCTTTAAACATATTTACCCAAATTATAATAACGATTACTCCCTGAATAGAATCCGACCTCGGAAATGTCGGACAAGTCCATTTTTTCCGAACGGGAGGGTTAAGTTATCTCATGATTATCTGTACCTTTTCTCTCAATAACGATTGTTGTATCTCTCCCACTTTTGGATGCGATCATTCGGCCTCTGCGTTTATCCGCGTAGCCTAGCCTCATCTATGAACAACTTACTAGACACTTCCCTCTCGAAAATAACCTGGTCCGATACATGACGCCATCAAGTTGCGAGCGCATACTCGAATTACCAGAAATAACGTCATGATAGAAGAATGTATTGTCGTGACATAAACCACGCTTTGTTCTTCATTGTTCTTTGCGGAGCTGTCTTATGTATATACCTGCGTAAAGCAAACGTGTGTATACCAAGCCATCGACACCATGTTCTCCTACCGAGAACCGTACACCCATCCCTTTGTCTTTTGGACTATGCAAATAATCATTATCAACGGTTTGTATGTCCCAAACGCGCGGAAGCGCGAATGCCCGTTGTTACTTTATATTAACTCAACACGGGTCATCTAATGATGAGACACTGAAAAAGTCGATGTTCAGAGTAAAGTGATTGTTATTTAAAAACAAGTGTCACGTATTCATCATCTGTCATATTTCGTTTGGACTGTACGCGCCGGAAGTGGAGAGCTGTTCGGGGAGACAACTCTTTCGATTTTTCCTAAGGGTTTCAAATGTACCATATGAAACAACACAACCTGAAAGCTAAATTGTTTTAAGGAAGAGCATTCATCGATCATCATGTCATACATTCGAGTTTTGGCAGGAACTCTTTTACTCTTCAAGCAAAAAATCTTTCGAATCAATGATATATATAGAAGGCACCAATTAACACACTGTTAAATTTTTGCGGTTTTGCGATGTGCATGTCTGAATGAACCTCTGCATATGTTTTGTGACGAGTGCCACCGGTGGGTCAGGATACGCTCAACTTTCGCGAACACCTGACATCATTACTATTTTCTAGTGGTTCATAAAATGGTTCACTTATGATATAGTCGGGAGGGTACAATGGGCTCTGCTATTGCTGGGATTCCTTAGAATTATGGACGGGGTTGTGTCGCTTGTTTATAATGTTATGTAAGCTCTGAAGAAACAAAATTAAGAAAACAATGCAAGACATTGTGCTTTGGTGCAAATTAATGCCTTTCACATTATTTGAAACAAATATGATACTGGTCATGGAATGCTTTCATGAATGTGTTCCCAAGTTTTGTAATTCTAATCTGCTCATGAAAATGGGTTCACTAAATGTTTGTTTGTTGTTGTTTTTTTATTTAACGCCGCACCCAGCAATAATCCATCTAAATGACGGCGGTCTGTAAATAATCGAGTCTGGACCAGACAATTCAGTGGTTGACATCACGGGCATCGATCCACGCAATTGGGATACGATGACATGCATCAACCAAGTCAGCGAGCCTGACCACCCGATCCCGTTAGTCGCCTTTACGAAAAGCATAGTCGCCTTTTACGGCAAGTATGGGTTGCTGAAGACCTAAGACTAAGTGAAAACACTTGTATTTCGAATATCAAGGGAAATGAATGTTTCATCTGATGTTCAAACCACCTTTATTGACCTCTAAGGAAATCAGAAAGTATTAAAGGCTTTCTGAAAACATTGAGTGTTGTAAGGTCAAAGTATGTGGGTGTTAAAATTAACAATGTATATTCTCTTTCAAATGAAAACCTTTGATAACTTAAAAATAACGAATTCTAAAGGATTTGTACGTTTCTTCAGTGAAGTACATTCTTTGGGCCAGAACGGGATCGTATACTGTGTTGTTGAATCAATAAGTCTTTGGTACAATGTATACTTCACTAGGTACAACTGGAAGGTATGATGCGTTTGTGTAACAACTTTTACACACGCACGCACGCACGCACGCACGCACGCACGCACGCACGCACACATTTCAAAGACGTTTCGGGACCACTTTTTACATCTACATCCGTACAGGGAATACAATATATATATTTTGGACATACAATCTGCAAAAAAAGAAACGCACAGGCAGATTGTTAGTAAATTTATTTTACCTTATAAAGGCGATATATTTACTGTAATATCATAGATAGAAATATAAAATTTTGGAGCTCGATAGTCACATGTTGTCGTTGTACAAAAGCATTGAAAACTGTTCATTCTCATGTCACATAAGTCCACAGGGTTGCGCTGAACTCAGTATCTCGTGTGACCGCCCCGGGCAGCAATCACGGCTCTGCATCTCCTCGGCACTGACTGGATAAGTGTACGAATTCTGTCCTGCTGAACTCTGCGCCATTTTGCTTGTATCGATCATCCTAGAGGTATTCGATTGGGTTGAGATCTGATCATCTCGACGGCCAGGGCAAGTCGTTGATGTTGGCATTATGGAGGTTGTCTTTCGTGACATTAGCTGTGTGCGTTGGAGCGTTGTCCTGTTGAAACAGCTCCCTTTTGCGGTCAATGATTGGAAGAAGGTGAGGTTGAAGAATTTGATTCATGTTGCGATTTGATGTCAGATCTCGTGGTGTAGGATATGGCAACCTACACCATGACACTACCGCCACCGGAATTGTAGAATTCACGTACACAATGTGGTGCAAAACGCTCATTTCGACGACGATAAACACCCTGTCTTCCAACTCGCCGGTGAAGAAGAAATCGTGATTTATCGCTAAACCACACTCGTCTCCAGTTTCTCGCATCGTTTGTCGAATATCAGGCCACCAACATTTTGCAATAACAATATATCCAATTTATATACCGGATTGTTTGTGTAGTCAGGTTCAATGAACTCCATACTACCTGTGCGTTTCTTTTTTTAAGCGTGTACACTTGACACCATAAAATCATTACAGCAACATGAAATAACCATTAAACAGTTCTGGCCCGTGATAAAATGGGCTCAAAAGGCTTAGATTCACATTACCAGTTCTAGATCGTTGCTATTTACGCGAAGAGCTAGTCATGATTGATTATACAGTAATGCAAGACGATTGAGCATCCACAGACACTAGGGGGCACGGGGGGCCCAGTCGTCTAAGGCGCCGCGATTCGCTGTGCAGAGTTGCGTCCCTTGGGCACGCCAAAAATCTATGATCGTGGGTTCGAATCCCGGTTCGCACCGATTATGTTTCTAGGTTTGTCAGCACCATACCCGTGCTCGTGGGTTTCACCGAAGTGGTAAACGTCTGAGACCTGCATCACTATGGGCTTTCCTCCCACATTAAGCTGACACGCCGCGGTATAACTGGAATACTGTTAAAAGCGGCGATAAACCCAACTCACTCACTCACTCACTCCACAGACACTGGAACAACGAGAAGAGTCAAATAGTATACGTCAAACAACAGATTCATCGTCATTATAACCGTAGGTCAAAGTAATTCCATTAGTGATAAATAGATTAATCTACCGATTCCATACTATTTGGATGAGAAGGGTTGACTTATTTTATTATTCATCGCGATAGGTAGGTAAGACAACGTTCAATGTTAATAGCTCTGTACACATTAACATGATTGGTTACAAAACAGGCCTACCTACTAGTAGTTTCTACTTAGTCTTACGTGTCGATTCCTAAATCGAAACAATACGTTCACCCAGAAATCTGCACGTAAAAGAATTTAGTGTCAAACCAACAAACAACCAACAAATAGGTATAAATCAACAATTGGATTACAAAATTAATTAGGTTTCAAATCAAACCAAATTACTGCACATCAATTGAAATGGCAGTACACAATAGGGTGGTAGTGCAATATTCAATGGCAGTATAAAATGTGAGTGCCGTGGAAAAGACAATGACAAGAATAATAATCACATCGCAGCATCAAGCTTCCGAGATAGGCCTAGGCTAAACGCCAGGGTGAAAAGTAATCTTTACACGAAAGCTGGTCTTAATGTAATGTCAGATGAAATGTGAGATGAGACAGGGACGCGCCCGCTCCACCACTTCTATAGTCCAACCAGCTTCCAACACTTTCTACACAGTGTCAGACCAGTCCAGTGTCACTATAACATCACAGAAT